TACTGTGTGTCCAGTGTGTTTGTAGAGGTGTACTGTGTGTCCAGTGTGATTGTAGAGGTGTACTGTGTGTCCAGTGTGATTGTAGAGGTGTACTATGTATCCATTATGACTGTAGAGGTGTACTGTGTATCCAGTGTGATTGTAGATGTGTACTGTATGTCCAGTGTGATTGTCGAGGTGTACTGTGTGTCCAGTGTGTTTGTAGAGGTGTACTGTGTGTCCAGTGTGATTGTAGAGGTGTACTGTGTGTCCAGTGTGATTGTAGAGGTGTACTGTGTGTCCAGTGTGTTTGTAGAGGTGAACTGTGTGTCCAGTGTGTTTGTAGAGGTGTACTGTGTGTCCAGTGTGATTGTAGAGGTGTACTGTGTGTCCAGTGTGTTTGTAGAGGTGTACTGTGTGTCCAGTGTGTTTTACACACAGTACACCTCTACAAACACACTGAACACACAGTACACCTCTACAAAAATACACTTCTAAACACAGAGTACAGTTTCCCAAACATACTGTAAACAGAGCACCTATATGACATAGAGTAAATTCGTACAAAACACAGAGTATACCTCCAAAAAACATTGGATACAAACGTATCTACTACCTACTGGACACACAGTACACCTCTACACTCACACTGGACACACAGTACACCTCTACGTTGTTATGGAGTAAGTATATGTTACGATTGTATTATAGAAACATTTATGATGTAAGTATCCTTTATGATACTTCTAGAGAAACGTTGTTATGGAGTAAGTATATGTTACGATTGTATTATAAAAACATTTATGATGTAAGTATCCTTTATGATACTTCTAAAGAAACGTTGTTATGGTGTAAGTATATGTTACGATTGTATTATAGAAACATTTATGATGTAAGTATCCTTTATGATACTTCTAGAGAAACGTTGTTATGGTGTAAGTATCCCTTATGATACTTCTAGAGAAACACTGTTATGATGTAAGTATATGTTACTATAAAATATCACTGTAATATAAATTTGTATGTTCCAGTACACACTCTTTCATCACATACAAAACAGAAACTTGGCTTAGTAACATAAAGCATGAAATATGTTGATCATATAATATATTTACAACTAATAAGTTTTTGTGTGAAATATAGTCAGAGATTAATTGATTGTTGTGAATCCCCACCCCAAAAAAAATCATGGGAAGCATAACTTGACATTAAGAAAATGAATTTTTTTTTAATACGAATTTACAAAAAATAGTGTTAGATAAAATGTATGTTTATGTAACCCTTGTTTTTGCAACTACACAAAATGACTGACATAAGTTGTGGCAGATTAGATCTATATTGTTGTCAACTTCAAGCAAGAAAACCTCAAATAAGATACTGATAGAGTAGAATGTGAATATTCTTCTGTTATTAATATCATTATTAACACATTATTTACCATAAGCAAGAACTTACTTGTAAACCAAGGAAGACCAAAAAAATGGATGTCAAAAAACCTAAAATTCCTTCTGGATCATAGGGAAGGTCTGTCAGATAGATGACCTGTA